TTGTTCAACTCCCGATAATCAATGCACATTTTGTGGGAGCCGTCCTTCTTCTTCACAGATAAAATCGGTGCTCCCCATGGTGAAATAATCGGTCTGATAAACCCCTTGTCTAACAGCTTCTGCAGCTGTGTAGGCAACTCCTACATCTTCGGCGGTGCCAACCGATAAGGTGCCTTGGCTATCGAAGCCATGCCTGGTACCAAATCAATATGAAACTTTTCCTGCCTCTCCGGAGGTACTCCGTGGACTTGTTGCGAATAGGGTGAGAAAGATTGATATGATTGTTGAAAAAGTTGAGTTTTTGGGATAGGGGAACTACCTTGGAGCAAATTCATAAAACCACCTTGAGGTGATTCCATGTTCGGGTATTGACGTGGAGTTGTATATAACACAAAAGTGTTATTGGGCTTGCTGTTTTGATAGTTTTGTGGGGTATTTTGATTGGGATCCATGGTTTTTGGATTTTAAAACGATATTAATGTGTGTATGAAAATAGAGGAAGAGAAGAATGGTGTAAAAATATGGTTTTATGTAGTGATATTTATAGGTGAAAATCTTTTTTTTTTTGAAAAATCATAAACTAGCCGTTGAACGACTAGTCAACGAACTCAACACCCAATAGCTCTCCCATTCATCGTTTTCCATCATTTGCATACACCACAAACTACCACGACCACAACCAATCACGAACAACCAGGGTGGTGTTCACGGACCGTGGATGTTGCCACGTAAACCACGAAGCCCTCCGTTGTATGTATTCCATATGACCTAAATTTTAAACTGAAGGTTATGCCTTTGCTAATAAAAGTTTTGTGTCTATTAATTTATAAATAAATAAAAATATGCTATGAGATTGAAAATGTTTTAATGATGAAAACATGAAAGGTGACATTAAATTTTCAAACATAGATTGAAGTTTCAAAGTCATGTTTTCATTCAAACTTGATAACAGTCGAAAATGCTAAGCCAATAGATAATTTTCTTTCATCAGTTGTAATCTATAAGCATCATGAAAATATATTTGAATATATTTTGCCAATAAGGTAACGCATAACTACATAACCTTTTACCTATATTCTCAAAAACAATATAACTTTCCATTAGATTTAATGTAACATCAAAAACTACAAAAAAACGTCAACAAGAAAAAGTAAAATTATACACTAAAGTTATCCGGAGTGGGAAGAACCCCACACATGAAATGCTTACGTGGAGCCCCTCCCTAAGCGTGAACACCGTCTCTAGGGTGGGTGGGTTGGGTGTGACGTGGCTGCGAAGACGGAAGAGGACGTGAGATTTGATTGGTGGGTTAAATTTGAACGTTGGTTTCGACCGTTTGAAAGCATTTAAAAAAATTATGTTTTTTATTTTTTAATTTAATATCTCTCTATATATACATTCATTTTACATATATTTTTCAAAACAAAACACACAAACTCTTTCAAAACAAACACACACATTAAATAAAAAAATGGATAATTTTTTCGGTGCAATTTCTTCTTCATTCGATGATGATTCTGATGACGACTTGGTTTTACACACACTATTGTCTGTGACAAAAGACATGGTACGTGAGAGAGGTGAAAGTTCAAACGTCGAGAAGAAGCGTAAAAATGGATCAACCAGGATCGAGAGGCGACACATGAACTTTTGGTACATGATTATTTTGCCGCTGATAGTTTATATGATTTATCGAAATTCGAATAACTTTCTCGTATTAGTAGAAATTTATTCTTACATATAGCTAGAGATTTGGAACGTAATTATGAGTTTTTCAATTACGATGGAATGTTAGAGGTAAACCTGGTTTTACTACAATACAAAAATGTACGGCCGCTCTTAAACAATTGGGATATGACATAGCCGTAAACGCATCGGATGAGTATTTGAAAATGTCTTAGAGGACGGGTCGAGACTGTACATATCTTTTTTGTGAGTATTTTATAGAGCTTTGTCGTGACATATACTTGCGACATCCGACTAAAAGTGATGTCGAGCAGTTGTATGCCACACATCAAGCTAAACATGGTTTTCCAGGGATGTTTGGTAGCATTGATTATACACATTGGGAGTGGGCAAATTGTCCCAACGCGTGGCGTGGTCAATTCCCGTGAGGTGACCATGGGGTCCCAACTGTTATATTAGAGGCGGTTGTTTCACAGGACCTATGGTTTTGTCATGCATTCTTTGGTATGACGGGGTCAAACAATGACCTGAATGTGCTCCAAGCGTCTCCGTTATTTAACAATATTTTCCAGGGTAAAGCACCAAACATGTCATACGTTGTGAATGTAAATGAGTATAAGTATGGTATTACTTAGGTGATGGTATATATCCAGAGTACGTTACAATTGTCAAGTCATATTCATTTCCGGCCGATGAAAAACGAAAATTATTCAAGTTAGCACAAAAATCTCCAAGGAAGGACGTGGAACGAGCGTTTGGAGTCCTCAAACAAAAGTGGCACATAATCAAACATTCAACACATACATGGGATAAGGAAAAATTGACTGCTTATGTTATTTTACATAACATGATAATAGAAGAAGAGGGTAAAACTATTTGTTCATATATCGCTAACGATATACTTAATCCATCTACAGTAATAAAAATTGGCAGCCCGACATACTTCACAAGGGTTTTGGAAATACAACACCGTGAAACACATCACAATCTATGTCACGATTTGACCGAACACCTATGACAAAGGCAATTCCAAAGGCAAAATGACAATGAAGACGAGGTGGATGAGAGCGGTAACGACGAGGTGAACTAGGACGGTGATGACGAGGCGGACGAGGCCGATGACGACAACGACGACGAGTAGTATTTTTCTATGTATTTTTATGTTTTTAATTTTTTAAGCAATGTAATGTTTTATTTTAGTAATTTAGGTTTTAAATTTCTATGTTTTTAACTAATGAAATGTGCTTTTATTTTTTTATGTTTTCAAAAATTTTATTTATGTTATAAATTATGATTTTTATTTAATATAATGTTAAAAAAAATAAAAAAAGGAATGTTGTAGAGTTGTAACAATTTCCAATGTCTAGTGGGTTGGTGATGAAGCTAAAGTGATGCAAATGTGGCAACGCTTTTCCGGTGGATTGGTGGTGACCACTCCCCATAGCCTAACAAAAAAAAATTGGTCACTTAGACCGAGGGAATGATGCCATTGGAACCATAATAAAACATTCGTCACGTCACTGTCATGTCATTTTTACCACAAAAAAATATGGTTTCTTTGCCACACACTAGGTATTCCGCCACATTTTTTTAAGAATTTAATTTAATTAAAAACTTTAATTTTAATAAAAACATAAACATTTCATTACTTCAAAATAAAAAAATATTACATTCCATTACTTAAACAAACATAACATGACATTAGAAAAAAAAAATCCTAAAATTTTAGAAAAAAATAAAACTAAAAATTTTAAACCTACAAACTTAAAGAAGACACACATCAAACGATTAAAAGTAGTTAGAAATTTTAAAACCTACTTAGCATAACATTTTTTGAGATTGATTTTCATCGCCAAAGCAATTTCAAGCTTTTCCCCACTCATGTTAGTTGATCACATGAAGATCTTGGTGTTGTTGTGTTTCTAGTGAGTGTTTTTTTGATTGTTTGAGTTGGTGGAAGAAGAAATTTTCAAAGTTTTCAAAAAAAAAAGTTGAAAGATAATTTTTTTTTGATGAAGATGTGGTAAGATAAAGCTGTGAGGTTTATTTGTAAGTAATAAAAAAAAAGAGGATTATTCTATACACCCCTAATTCCCCATGTACCATTTTTTTCGTCTTATTATGTTTTTTTTTGCTTTTTGTTTTTTTTGAACTATTTTTATAATAAATACATATTTTTATTTTTTTTTCTTTTTTTTAAATACATATTTTTATTTTGCTTTTTTTTTTAACTATTTTTTATTAAGACTATCTCTATGTTATTTTAACTATTTTTATTAAGACTATCTCTATAAAAAAAATCTATGAATTTTTAGTGTTTTGTACTGTATTAATTATTTATAATTAGTTAGTTTAGATAAATATAAATATAAATAATAAATATATAAGTGATGTCTTCATTTCAAGTTTTTTTTTTCTAAATATTAGAAAACTATAACAATCAATTTTGTGTGTACGTTAAAGTCATAAATAAGCTATTGAGGTGTAATTGTATTTATATATTTGCATTACTCATGATGATTTTTTTTAATTATTAAATACAAAAAATCAAAAAATATAAAAAAATAAAAAAAAAACAAAAATACAAGAAATCAAAAAAGATTAAAAAAAGCACAAAAAACAAAAAAATAAAACAACTAGCTGACAAAAAAGGAAGGTACATGAGAGAAAAAATTAAAAGATGGGGTACATAATAAAAAAAGACAAAAAAAAAATTCAAATTTTAAAAGCTTTGATCATTCAAAGCTTGGGAAAAGGAAAAGTGGATGAGAGAGGTGCGGTCGTTCTCTACCGTGTGCAGTCAAGGGGAAATGTTCCCTTTGGCTGTCGTAATTTATGTGCGGTGAAACTGCACCAATTCCTCCAAGTCTTATAAGTTTTACAAACAAGTTAGAAACATGAGTTCTTTTTTCTAATTTTTTTTTGTCCCCCGTTATAACATTATCGGTAAATCTCCAAACATTTAAAAGAAAATAAAAAAATGAGGGTTGTTTTAAAATAATTTGATTAGGTTACTCCAAAAAAATACAAATATATATTTTGTTGTATGAGTTACCCATAGATTTATTACCATTTTATTTATATATTGAAATTGAAATTGAAATTTGAAAGTGCCAAAAATTAAAAAAAGTGTAAAGATTCTCCCGCAAGCTTTACCCTCAAAATTCAAATCACCCGCTCTCACTATTCAACAACTCATTATAAAAACATGGTCACTCCTCTCCTTAATTTCATCATCCCAAACAATCCCTAATCTTCCACGCCTAATCTTTCATTCCATTTTCGCCAATCAGATCTCTTCGAAACCTACCAGAATGCCTTCTATCCCTGAAGAGCCTCTTCTTGCTCCAAACCCAGATCGCTTCTGTATGTTCCCAATTCAGTACCCTCAAATTTGGGAAATGTACAAGAAAGCCGAAGCTTCCTTTTGGACAGCCGAAGAGGTCGATTTGTCTGAAGATCAACGTCACTGGGACTCGTTAACAGACGGCGAGAGGCACTTTATCACCCATGTTCTTGCCTTCTTCGCCGCCTCCGATGGCATCGTTTTGGAAAACCTGGCCGGACGATTCATGAAAGAGGTTCAAGTTGCGGAGGCGCGTGCTTTCTACGGATTCCAGATTGCCATCGAGAATATCCACTCCGAGATGTACAGTTTGCTTCTGGAATCCTACATAAAAGACTCTAATGAGAAAAGCAGACTCTTCCGAGCAATCGAGACTATTCCGTGTGTTGAGAAGAAAGCGAATTGGGCTCTCAAATGGATCGATGGCTCGGAGACGTTTGCAGAGCGTATTATCGCTTTCGCTTGCGTTGAAGGGATTTTCTTTTCCGGAAGCTTCTGCGCGATTTTTTGGTTGAAGAAACGTGGGTTGATGCCTGGATTAACCTTCTCGAACGAATTAATCTCGCGAGATGAGGGATTACACTGTGATTTCGCTTGTTTGCTATATGGGTTACTGAAGACGAAGCTGAGTGAGGAACGAGTCAAGGGAATCGTCTCCGATGCGGTGGAGATTGAAAGAGAGTTCGTCTGCGACGCCTTACCTTGTGCTCTTGTAGGGATGAACGGGGATCTGATGAGTGAATACATCGAATTCGTTGCTGATAGGTTATTGGGTGCATTGGGATATGGGAAATTGTACAATGCCCAGAACCCGTTTGATTGGATGGAACTGATTTCGTTACAGGGGAAGACCAATTTCTTCGAGAAAAGGGTGGGTGAGTATCAGAAAGCTTCTGTGATGTCGAATTTGAACGGAAATGGAGACTCTCATGTTTTCAAAATGAATGAAGATTTCTAAATTTTCAGTTCTAGGGTTCTTCAAATTGCTTATTTAGGGTTAGCTTCAAGTGTTGTGATTCTATGTTTATGTTTATTAAATCTGTTTCTTGATTCTTGTTCAAGAAACAGTGTAAGAAAATGAAAATCTAACATCTTTTATTTCCTATATGTTTTTCAATGGGTATTTGGAAATTGATCGAAAAACATGATCTTTATGTTCTGTGATATAAACTATAAAGGGAGTGTTTGGTTAAACTTATACTAGGAAAATAAGCTAAATAAGCTTAGCCAAACACGCCCAAAGTAATTTTTTTTTCTTTTTTAACTTTTTACGATGAAATAAGAACCATTAGTGGACCTGTCAAGCCTTTCAAAAACGATGTCGTTTTGTGTGGGTAATACAGTCCCCAAAATTTAATAGGCATACTAGGGCTAGAAAACAATCACTACAGTTCGAAATGCTATCAAGAGAACAGTTGCTTCATCTCTTCGATCGATTCTCCACTCTCACATCTCAAAATGGTATCAATTTCTCTCTTTCGATCTCTATTTACACACATCCACACACAGTATTATCGTTATTTTATGCGTATATTGTTCTATCAATCGATTCCAATTCGAGATTCAATGAATTATTTCAGATGTTAAGAAACGAATTGCAGATGCTGTCAACGATAACCAGGTATCTATCTATCTCTCTTGTTTATTCTTGATTTTCGAATTCTTTTTAAGGTTTTGTTAGTGGATTAATTGTAGTTGATTAAGTTCTTAGTTCTTACAGAAGCGTGTGATGTAGTTCCCTTTGTAAAGTGATTAATCTTCAGTAATTTCAATCACCTCTGTAATGGCGTTAAAACCACCCACAACTCTTGTAATGAGGAATAGTCAAAGATGAAATCATGAAACCAGTGTTGTTTGAAACATGGTTTTTGGTTACAATGTTGCATAAATTGTTAAAAAGGTGAAACAAACGTTACATAAATTGATATAAAAAAAAGTGTAAAGTTGTTGCAAAAATGAAAAATCAGCATTTAACTTGTGCCATTTCAAGAGGTAATTGGTTCCTAGTTACACTTATATAATTTCACTCTATTCATAGACAAGTCTCCATTCTTTGTTTGATTTTGTTACAAAATTTTGCTAGAAAACCATATTTAAAGTAGGTATATTTGTTTATTGCAGACTTTTTGCAGACAAGTTTTTGTAAAATAACCTCAACCACCATTACAAGTCAAATTTTTTTGAAAAAAAACATGGTTTTTGAATGTTCTAGTAAGTTGAGGGACTCAATCGTGCAAAACGATTTTCCAGGGATTTATCTGCAAAATTGTGAATTTGATAAATGTCAAATAAATGGTTTTTGAATAATTGAAATTTGAAATAGACAACACATGATGGTAATAAATACAGGAAGCTGTAGCTGTGACCACTGCTATACAGGAGGAAATACTAAAGGAAATGGGAGTTGGTAAATACATGGTTTTTTTAAATAAATTGTATAATTTTTTATAGACTTTTTTTTTAAAAAAATTGTATTATTTCAGATCCAGCTTATGGGCTTGCTTGCTTGGGGAAAATAAACATGGACTATGAAAATGATCAGGATTTAATGGTTCGCTTCTATGCATTTGTAGCAAAGTAATCTTTCTCTCTTTTTTTTCTACTATTTACTATAGACTTATTTGGGTTTAATGACTGGAAAGTGGAAAATATACTTTTTTTATTATAATATTATTTGGGTGTTAATGTGATATTATTATTATGGGTTAATCTAAAAAAAGACCTTATATTTTGTGTTTTTTCCGGATTGAACCGCAAATTTATTTTTTGCCTGAAAAAGACATTGTATTTTTTTTTCAGTTTTTCCGATCTGGCCCTTTTAGTTATTTTTTCCAAATTTTTTTTGTAAAATGTGAGGGTTTTTGAGAAAAACTAAAAAAACTGAGGGTTTATTTGGAAGCATTTAGAAGGTTGAGGGTTTTTTTTCGTAAAAAATACAAAGTTGAGGGTTTTTTCGGAAAAAATGAAAAAGTACAAGGTCTTTTTCAACCAAAAAGTAAATTTGAGGTTTAATCCCGAAAAAAAAAATATAAGGTCTTTTTTGAGATTAACCCTATTATTATTTTGTAAATAAAAAAATTCAATAATTATTAGGGTTAATCTCATTAAAAAACCTTATATTTTGTGTTTTTTTTTTTTCGGATTAAACCTCAACTTCATTTTTTTTTTCCTGCAAAAGACCTTGTATTTTTCGAAAAAACCATCAACATCTTTTTTTTCCGAAAAAAGCCCTCAACCTTCTAACTGTTTCCGAAAAAACCCTTAACTTTTTTAGTTTGTCCGAAAAAACCCTCAAATTTTACAAGTTTTCTTGGAAAAAAACGACTAAAGGGCCGGATCGAAAAAAAATGAAAAAATGCATGCAAGGTCTTTTTCAAAAAAAAAAAAGTTGAGGTTTAATCCGGAAAAAACACAAAATAAAAGGGTCTTTTATGAGATTAACCATAATTATTATTAAATAATGTATATGTAGAGTTAAACTATACATTCTTTTTACAACATTAAATATTCATATAAAACTTCATTTCATTTGTACATGCCAACCAAAGATGATCATGGAATGTAATGTAATGACTCATTAGTCATTCCATTACCTTGTTGTTTATTACATTGCTATGTCATTTGTCAATTCCATTCCATTGTCATTATATTTCTCATACCATTCATTATACACACATAGTTTGAAGTTAATTTTAAACAAATCTTCAGAATTGGTCCTTGTGGTTTCCAAAAAAATCAAGTTTGGTCCTTAACTTTCTTTCCTTCAAGGATGATCCTTTTGGTTTTAATTTCTATCGTGTTTGGTCCCTCACCTATATAAAAAGACATTTATACCCTTTTCATTTCTTTTTATAATTAATTTTAACTAAAAAGTAAAAACCCCATCCTGGGCCCACATCTCTCTCTCCCCTTTTTTTCTATGGCATAGATATTTTTATGGGTGGGTGATGATATTTTTGGCTCGTGTCTATGTGTGTGTGTGAGAGAGAGAGAGAGAGAGAGAGAGAGAGAGAGAGAGAGAGAGAGAGATGTGGGCCTAGGATGGGGGCTAAAATTAATCATAAAAAGGGTATAAATGTCTTTTTATGAGGGCGAGAGACCAAACACGATAGAAATTGAAACCATAGGGATCATCCTTGAGACAAAAAAAGTTAAGGACCAAACTTGATTTTTTTTGGAAACCACAAAGACCCTATTTGAAGATTTGTCTTAATTCTATCGTTCTATGACATTTTTATTAAATCATTTTTTTTTTTGCATTAAGTAAAAAAGAAACACATGTGATATTATGATTTATTGAGATGTAAACCGATTTGATGGCAATAACAGGGAAGAAATGGCATGTGAAGAAGCCGAGCTTGGACCAGATGAATATTCTGAAAGATTGCAAATGCAACAAACGTTACATTCACATGTAAGATCCAACAAGATTTTATTTTATTTTATTTTTTATTTTTTGAAAATTTAAAATGGGTATGTGTAAATAAATATGTTGTAGCAATTGGAGATGTTGAAACACATGCGTAACTATGGTGTGGATCATCAGTCTGCTATCTTAGAGAAGGTTTTATTTGTTTTCTGCTTTAATTTTTGGATTCTATTTTTGTGATGTTAAATGTGCGATTTGTGTTATTTGTTTTTTCAGTTGAGGCAAAAAATGGAGAAAGAAGAGTTTGAAAATGAAGCATTTGTGTTTTCTGTGGATGAAATGAATGAGATTGTTGAAAATGGAGTGTAAAGGGGTTTTATTTGTTGATTTTGTGGTTTATTTGGTTAAGTCAGTGTTCAAATATTATGTATCACCATTTTTATTCTAGGATTTGAAGCATCATCATTTTTATGTTAATTTATTGGACAAATTGCATAAAAGCCACTATATTTTGGTTTAATCTCTTTGTTTTAGTTCTGTCAATGAAAGGCACTCAAATTTGGCATATTTTTTTTAATGTTGACCAATGTGATTTGTTATAACAGAGCATGTTAAAGTGTTTTCATGATTAAAAATTTTGTTAGAATCTAGTGGCGTAGTGGTATATTTACTATCAAAGTTTAGTCAATTTTCTCTAAAAGCATTAACTTTGATAAAATTTTATATTATCAGCCCTTTAACCATCCTCATTGGTTTTAATTGAGGAAACCAAAATACAAGGGGTGTTTGGCATTCCTTTTAAAACAACTTTTGGATTTTTAATTTTTTCCAAAAAGTAAAAAAAAATCCAAAAGATATTTGGCAAACTTTTGGATTTTTAATTTTTTCCAAAAAGTAAAAAAAAATCCAAAAGATATTTAGCAAAATAAGAAAGTTCTTTTCAATCAACTTTTTGTAATGAACAAAAATAAACTTTTTTAAAAGTTATAAAATCTCATCTTTTTGTGAGTTTTTGGTTTTTAACTCTTAAAAGTCTTAAAATCCAAACTAAACACATTTTAAATACATCATTTTAGAAAAAGTTATTTTATAAAAAAATACTTTTTATAAAAAGACTTTTAAGTTAAAAAAAAATCCCAAACATACCCTATAATAGCTAGACCATAAAAATATCAAAACATAGATTTTCATTTAATTTGTCCTAATTTAATTGTCTTCATTTTCTCTTCTTTTTTCCCTTGATTCACAACTAATCTAATTGTCTACCTTTTATCTTCTTTTCCCTTTGATCCCAGTTACCTTCTTGTTTTTCAATCGATCTTTTTGTAACAAGAATTCAATACACGTCCAAAAATTTAAAACATACCAACTAACCCTTATAAATTTAGGACAAAGTTACATAAATGGTTCTTGTGGTTTACCAAAGGTCACAAACTCAATTCTTGTTAATATTTTTGACGAACATGGTCTCTATGGTTTCCAAAACTAGTATGAAATATGAATGGTCATTTTTGCTCACACCGTTATTTTTCGTCCGTTAGTGTGAGGCTAAACCATATGAACCCTTTATGTAATTTTGTTTATGTTTC